GGGTCACAAATCAAGCCTTGGTAAATTTAAGAAAATAGTAATCATATCAAGTATCTTTTTCAAAACGCAATGTTATGAGGCTAGATATCAATTACGAGAAAACAACTGCAAAAAATACAAACACATGGAGGCTAAACAATACACTACTAAATAACTAAGAGATCACTGAAGAAATCAAGGAGGAAATCAAAAAATACCTAGAAACAAAGGACAACAAAAACACAATGACCCAAAACCTATGGAATGCAGCAAAAGCAGTTCTAAGAGGGAAGTTTATAGCAATACAATCCTACCTCAAGAAACAAGAAACATCTCAAATAAACAACCTATCCTTACACCTAAAGCAATTAGACAAAGAAGAACAAAAAACCCTAAAGTTAGCAGAAGGAGAGAAACCATAAGGATCAGATCAGAAATAAGTGAAAAAAAATGAAGGAAACAATAGTAAAGCTCAATAAAACTAAAAGCTGGTTCTTAGAGAAGATAAACAAAATTAATATACCATTAGCCAGGCTCATCAAAAAAATTAATAAAGGGAGAAGACTCAAATCAACAGAATTCGAAATGAAAAAGGAGAAGTAACAAGTGACACTGCAGAAATGCAAAGGATCATGAGAGATGACTACAAGCAGCTATATGTCAATAAAATGGACAACCTGGAAGAAATGGACAAATTCTTAGAAAAGCACAACCTTCCGAGACTGAACCAGGAAGAAATAGAAAATATAAACAGACCAATCACAAGCACTGAAATGGAGACTGTGATTAAAAATCTTTTAACAAACAAAAGACCGGGACCAGATGGCTTCACAGGCAAATTCTAACAAACATTTAGAGAAGAACTGATACCTATCATTCTCAAACTCTTCCAAAATATAGCAGAGGGAGGAACACTCCCAAACTCATTCTAGGAGGCCACCATCACCCTGATACCAAAACCAGACAAAGATGTCACAAAAAAAGAAAACTACAGGCCAATATCACTGATGAACATAGACGCAAAAATCCTCAACAAAATACTAGCAAACAGAATCCAACAGCACATTAAAAGGATCATTCACCATCATCAAGTGGTGTTTATCCCAGGATTCAAGAATTCTTCAATATACGCAAATCAATCAATGTGATACACCATATTAACAAACTGAAGGATAAAAAACATATGATAATCTCAATAGATGCAGAAAAGTCTTGAGACAAAATTCAACACCCATTTATGAAAAAAACCCTCCAGAAAGTAGGCATAGCGAGAACTTACGTCAACATAATAAAGGCCATGTAAGACAAATCCACAGCCAACATCGTTCTCAATGATGAGATTGAGTTGATGAAAAACTGAAACCATTTCCACTAAGATCAAGAGCAAGACAAGGTTTCCCACTCTCGCCACAATTATTCAACATAGTTTGGAAGTTTTAGCCACAGCAATCAAAATAAAAAGAAATAAAAGGAATCCAAATCAGAAAAGAAGAAGTAAACTGTCACTGTTTGCAGATGACATGATACTATGCATAGAGAATCCTATAGATGCTACCAGAAAACTACAAGAGCTAATCAATGAATTTGGTAAAGTAGCAGGATACAAAATTAATGCACAGAAATCTCTTGCATTCCTATACACTAATGATGAAAAATCTGAAAGAGAAATTAAGGAAACACTCCCATTTAGCATTGCAATGAAAAGAATAAAATACCTAGGAATAAACCTACCTAAGGAGACAAAAGGCCGGTATGCAGAAAACTATAAGACACTGATGAAAGAATTTAAAGATGATACAGACAGAGGGAGAGATATACCATGTTCTTGGATTGGACGAATCAACATTGTGAAAATGACTATACTACCCAAAGCAATCTACAGATTCAATGAAATCCCTATCAAACTACCAAGGGCATTTTTCACAGAAGTAGAACAAAACATTTCACAATTTGTATGGAAACACAAAAACCCCAAATAACCAAAGCAATCTTGAGAAAGAAAAACGGAGCTGGATGAATCACGCTCCATGACTTAAGACTATACTACAAAACTACAGTAATCAACACAGTATGGTACTGGCAGAAAAACAGAAATATAGACCAATGGAAGAGGAAAGAAAGCCCAGAGATAAACCCACACACATATGGCCACCTTATCTTTGATAAAGGAGGCAAGAATATACAATGGAGAAAAGACAGCCTCTTCAATAAGTGGTGCTGGGAAAACTTGACAGCTACTTGTAAAAGAATGAAATTAGAACACTCCCTAACACCATACACAAAAATAAACTCAAAATAGATTAAAGACCTAAATGTAAGTTCAGACACTATAAAACTCTTAGAGGAAAACATAAATGACATAAATCACAGCAAATCCTTTTTGACCCACCTCCTAGAGAAATGGAAATAAAAACAAAAATAAACAAATGGGACCTAATGAAACTTCAAAGCTTTGGCACAACAAAGGAAACCATAAACAAGATGAAAAGGCAGCCCTCAGAATGGGAGAAAATATTTGCAAGTGAAGCAAGTGACAATGGATTAATCTCCAAAATATACAAGCAGCTCATGCAGCTCAATATCAAAAAAACAAACAACCCAATCCAAAAATGGGCAGAAGACCTAAATAAACATTTCTCCAAAGAAGATACACAGTTTGCCAACAAACACATGAAAGGATGCTCAACATCACTAATCAGTAGAGAAATGCAAATCAAAACTACAATGAGGTATCACCTCACACCCGTCAGAATGGCCATCATCAAAGCATCTACAAAGAATAAATGCTGGAGAGGGTGTGGAGAAAAGGGAACCTTCTTGCACTGTTGTTGGGAATGTAAATTGATACAGCCACTGTGGAGAACAGTATGGGGGTTCCTTAAAAAACTAAAAATAGAGCTACCATACAACACAGCAATCCCACTACTGGGTATATATCTTGAGAAAACCATAATTCTAAAAGAGTCATGTACCACAATGTTCACTGCAGTTCTTTTTACAATAGCCAGGACATGGAAGCAACCTAAGTGTCAGTCGACAGATGAATGGATAAAGAAGACGTGGCAATATATACAATGGAATATTACTCAGCCATGAAAAGAAATGAAGTTGAGTTATTTGTAGTGAGGTGGATGGACCCTGAGTGTGTCATACAGAGTGAAGTAAGTCAGAAAGAGAAAAACAAATACCGTATGCTAACACATATATATGGAATCTACCAAAAAAAAGGTTCTGAAGAACCTAGGGGCAGGACAGGAATAGCGATGCAGATGTAGAGAATGGACTTGAACACATGGGGAGGGGGAAGGGTAAGCTGGGACGAAATGAGAGAGTGGCATGTACATATATACACTACCAAATGTAGAATAGCTAGCTAGTGGGAAGCTTCTGCCTAGCACAGGGAGATCAGCTCGGTGCTTTGTGACCACCTAGAGGGTGGGACAGGATGGGTGGGAGGGAGACACAAGAGGTAGGGGATATGGGGCTATACGTATGCATATAGCTGATTCATTTTGTTATATCCAGATAACTAATGCAACAACGTTAAGCAATTATACTCCATTAAAGATGTTTAAAAAAAAAGTTTTATCATAGATAAATTCTTTTCACTTGCATTTTGTTTTCGGATATTGGACACACATTAATTCTAGACTGTTGGCCCTTAACCACAGTTTTAGCTTGGCATTGATGCCATATAAAGGATTTTAGGGCACTTATGAATACTCTAAAATAATAGGAAAATTTCATCAGCTTCTCAAAGGGATCACAAAGATTAACAAAGGTTAAAGAACCACCACTCTACACATCCTACAATAACATGTTACAATTCAAATATTTCTTTCGTAAAACTGGTAGCTGATTTGAACTGTAGCCTAAAAGTTTTAATCAACCCTTAACTACCTGAGTGTTAGTAACAGACCTCTATAAGTGTATAATACCTCTTTTACACTTGATTCTTTAAAAAAAATAAATGAAACAAAACACTCTGTGGTGCAAAACATTGTTGATAGAAATTAAAGGTAACATAAACATATAAAGATATGTTCATGGTTAGAAAACCTGATAATTTTAAATTGTCAATTCTCCCCAAACTGATCTATAGATTCAATGCACTTAATTATAAGCCCAGCAGACTTTTTTGGGTAGAAATCAACAAGTTGATCCTAAAAGTTATAGGGAGGTGCAAAGAACCTAGAATTTCCAAAGCAATTTTTAAACAGTCAGTATAAAGTTGAAGGACTTACATTATGGGACTTCATAACTTAACAAATAGCTATGCTAATTAAATAGTGTGATACTGTCTAAGGACGAACCAAAAGAACAGTGGAACAAAATAAATCCTAGAAATAGACCCACAATTATTCAGTCAAAGGTACCAACACTATCTGAAGGGAAAAGCAAAGTCTTTTCAATAAACAGTACTAGAATAACTGTAAAGCCATATGGAAAAAAATGAACCTCAATCCCTACCTCATAAGAAACACAAAAATTAATTTAATGTGGATCACATACATGAAAATAAAAATGAAAACATAAGAGATTTAAGGGAATAAAATCACTTTGCATCTTCTAAAAGTCACTACAAAATATTTTCCTATTTCTTCAAAATGTTGTTTCTCAATTCCATTTCATAATTAAGTAGCTATAGAGAATACCTAGAACACATTGTAATTGAGTCTGGGTGGACCGAAGATAATCAAACAATTGGCTAAAAAAAATTTAACTTCTAGAATAAGCTGGATGTGAAATCTGTCTAACAAAAACACATATTCTTATTACTATGTTTATTATTTGAGGATCATGGCAAAAAAATTCACTTTCCTTTGATGGACAAAGTTGTCTAGATTTAGCTCGAAGTGTTCTAAAGAGATTTTCTGAACTTTAATATAATTTTATTATAAAGATTAAAGAGTCTATATATTCACCTACTTGCCTTTCTCCCCCTCTGTCCATTTCCAAGAGTAAAAATTAAACAACAACGTGAACAACAACAGTAAAACATGCAACACAAAGCTGCTTACCGGAGTCCGTAGAGAACTGTTCCATCAGGATGCAGTCGGATCATTCGATTTTTCACTGTAACCCCATGCACAAATGATTTCTTGTCATTCAGAAAGTAGGTGTCTGGTACCCAGAGTTGGTCAGCTACCCTGTTGTCTAGCGTGAGGTTTAGTGGGATTCCAGAATAAGAAAGCCTTTTGTCTTTCCAAGACTGCTGGAAATACATGGTGAGTGTATAATCCTGCAAAAAAAGGAAACCGAACAAAGAATTTTACCATCATCACCACCATCATCATCACCATCATCATCACCATCATCATCATCATCATCACCATCTAAAAGCCTTTTTGGTAAGAATGTGATAGCACGTGGCACTGTGGATACCTAGAGACTCGCCATTCTGTGGTCACAAAGCACTGAGCTGATCTCCCTGTGCTAAGTTGACTCACCAACCTCCCCTACAAGGTTATGTTTGAATATATTGAAATTTGCACCTCCAAGTATAGGGCAACCGATAGGTTAGAAGTACTAGTGCAATAATTGAATGCACGCAGAAGCATTTGCACCAATATAGAGTAAATCCATTTAATTGAATTTTAAGGTTTGATGTTAAGGTAATGATATCATGGGGAAGGCTGTAAAGGGAAGTTGTACCTGTAGATTCATGTTCACAAAAATCTACCTCTGGATATTGTATTTATAGTGTTGCTTGATTCAGGAATTGGTTTGAGTTCAGAGATGGGTTTGTACTCGAGTTTGTTTTCCCATCTTCTGTAAAAGGTTACACTAAGGACATACCTTTGCACTTTTCTTTCTGCCCAGGTTTCCCCTGGCAGTGACAGACAGGAAGATTTGGGCTCAATAAATGTGTCAAGCTCACAGGAGAGGAATGGTGAAGATTATCTTAGAGCTTTAGTTGTATGTTTTTAAAGAACTCTATTAATACAAAGTGTAATTGTCCATTAAAAGAATGAGGTAGCAGTAAAATCATAAAGACTTAAGATGCGGTCCCAATATTATAAAAACAGAAGGTTCACTTTTTCTTTTAAAGGATATTTATCAGTCAACAGCTTTAGCTGGATGCTTTAGCAACAATTAAGAAAACACGTCATAATTCCTTCACAACTCTGTGTACTGCCATTGTTATATATACCACTGTTTGGGAAGCATTGGCTCCGATCATCTCTTACATCTGGGCAAATTGCACTTCATCTAGATACCTATATGGATATTTATGAATTTCTGAAATATCTTAAATGATAAGACAATATTTGTTCTGGATAATGAGTTCCAATGTCCTTTAACCACTATATTCAAGAATGCTTACACTGTTTACTCAGAAATAATCTTGCAATAATTCAAAGCCATTCTTTCTTGTTCAATGACAAGGACATTTGCTCTTCGCTACTAATCATACAATATCCTTTTTATAGGTCTGAAACCTCCTTCCACCTTACCTTCATTTAACAGAAAAAGAGAACCCACAGGGTTATACACAATTCTCTTCTCAACTGCTAACATCTGCATTTGCATCCTCTTCAAGTTCTTTACATCAATACCTTTTCGGAGGACAATGAATTGAACAGATTCTGGGCCTTAGATTCTAAAACACCTCCATTCCAAAATCTACCACATGTAGAGCTATGTAACCATGAGCAACTAACTTAACCCCTTATATGTCAGATGTCTCATTTCTAAAATAAAAATAGCATTTTACTAGTTTATTGAAAGCATTACTTGGGAGAATCATGGTGCAAGTACTTTAGAAACTAACATGCTAAACAAATATATTATCTTCAAAAATTGTTGCTATTTAAAGATTAATATCATACTTCCAAATTATTTGGAGTGTACGTATTCGTTTTCATAAGCATTTCCACTTTTAAAGAGATGTTTATAAAAGAACCTGCAGGAAGAAGGACCCTGGTAACCATGAAAGTAAGCAACTGTCTGTCTTGTAAGTCTTGTTGTTGGGGTCTTGTTTGTAATTCAGACAATGTAAGAAAATGAATGACTAGCTCAGCACAATCAGCAATGGGTTACATGTTTCACTACTCACGCTGAATACACATTAGCCTCCAACTCTCGTGAGCGCTACAGAGGATTTCCTCACAATGAGACCATGAGGCAAAATCCTTACTCCACATTCTCCTCAACAAAGAAAGTTTTAATGTGTGATGAGTAAAAACTTATTATAAAATACAAATGAGAGTCTTGGAGGAAGATGGCGGAAGAGTAGGACGCGGAGATCACCTTCCTCCACAAGATACATCAGAAATACATCTACACGTGGAACAACTCCTACAGAACACCTACTGAACATTGGCAGAAGACCTCAGACCGCCCAAAAGGCAAGAAACCCCCTCCACGCACCTGGGTGGGGCAAAAGTAAAAAGAATAAACAGAGACAAAAGGATAGGGACGGGACCTGCACCAGTGGGAGGGAGCTGTGAAGAAAGAATGGTTTCCACACACTAGGAAGCCCCTTCGCGGGCGGAGACTGCGGGTGGCTGAGGGGGGGAGCTTCAAGGCCACGGAGGAGAGCACAGCAACAGGGGTACGGAGGGCAAAGCGGAGAGATTCCCGCACAGAGGAACGGTGCCGACCAGCACTCACCAGCATGAGAGGCTTGGCTGGAAGCTGAGGCTTGGGCTTCGGTCGGAGCACCGGGAGAGGACTGGGGTTGGCGGCGCGAACACAGCCTGAAGGGGTTAGTGCGCCACGGCTAGCCGGGAGGGAGTCCGGGGAAAAGCCTGGAGCTGCCGAAGAGGCAAGAGACTTTTTCTTCCCTCTTTGTTTCCTGGTGCGCGAGGAGAGGGGATTAAGAGCGCTGCTTAAAGGAGCTCCAGAGACGGGCGCGAGCCGCGGCTAAAAGCGCGGACCCCAGAGACGGGCATGAGACGCTAAGGCTGCTGCTGCCGCCACCAAGAAGCCTGTGTGCGAGCACAGGTCACTCTCCACACCTCCTTTCCGGGGAGACTGTGCAGCCCGCCACTGCCAGGGTCCCGGGATCCACGGACAACTACCCCGGGAGAACGCACGGCGCGCCTCAGGCTGCTGCAACGTCACGCCGGCCTCTGCCGACGCAGGCCCACCCCGCACGCAGTGCCCCTCCCTCCCGCCGGCCTGAGTGAGCCAGAGCCCGCGAATCAGCGGCTCCTTTAAGCCTGTCCTGTCTGAGCGAAGAACAGACGCCTTCCGGCGACCTACACGCAGAGGCGGGGCCAAATCCAAAGCTGAGCCCCGGGAGCTGTGAGAACAAAGAAGAGAAAGGGAAATCTCTCCCAGCAGCCTCAGGGGCAGTGGATTAAATCTCCACAATCAACTTGATGTACCCTGCATCTGTGGAATACCTGAATAGGCAATGAATCATCCCAAATTGAGGAGGTGGACTTTGAGAGCAAGATTTATGATTTTTTCCCCGTTTCCTCTTTTTGAGTGTGTATGTGTATGCTTCTGTGTGAGATTTTGTCTGTATAGCTTTGCTTCCACCATTTGTCCTAGGGTTCTATCCGTCCGTTTTTTTGTTTGTTTTTTTACTTTTTAAAAACATTTTTAATAATTATTTTTATTTTAATAACTTTATTTTATTTTACCTTACTTTATCTTATTTTCTTTTATCCTCTTTCTTTCTTTCCTTCTACTTTTTCTCCCTTTTATTCTGAGCCGTGTGGCTGAAAGGCTCTTGGTGCTGCAGCCAGGAGCCACTGCTGTGCCTCTGAGGTGGGAGAGCCAGCTTCAGGACACTGGTCCACAAGAGACCTCCCAGCTCCACGTAATATCAAACGGCGAAAAATTCCTAGAGATCTCAATCTCAACGCCAACACCCAGCTTCACTCAACGACCAGCAAGCTACAGTGCTGGACACCCTATGCCAAACAACTAGCAACACAGGAACACAACCCCACCCATTAGCAGACAGGCGGCCTAAAATCATAATAAGTCCACAGACACCCCAAAACACACCACCAGACGTGGACCTGCCCACCAGAAAGACAAGATCCAGCCTCATCCACCAGAACACAGGAACTAGTCCCCTCCATGAGGAAGCCTACACAACCCACTGAACCAACTTCAGCCACTGTGGACAGACACCGAAAACAACGGGAACTACGAACCTGCAGCCTGCAAAAAGGAGACCCCCAAACACAGTAAGATAAGCAAAATGAGAAGACAGAAAAACACACAGCAGATGAAGGAGCAAGATAAAAACTCACCCGACCTAACAAATGAAGAGGAAATAGGCAGTCTACTTGAAAAAGAATTCAGAATAATGATAGTAAAGATGATCCAAAATCTTGGAAACAGAATAGAGAAAATGCAAGAAACATTTAACAAGGACCTAGAAGAACTAAAGATGAAACAAGCAACGATGAACAACACAATAACCGAAATTAAAAATACTCTAGAAGGGATCAATACCAGAATAACTGAGGCAGAAGAACGGATAAGTGACCTGGAAGATAAAGTAGTGGAAATAACTACTGCAGAGCAGAATAAAGAAAAAAGAATGAAAAGAACTGAGGACAGTCTCAGAGACCTCTGGGACAACATTAAACACACCAACATTCGAATTATAGGGGTTCCAGAAGAAGAGAAAGAGAAAGGGACTGAGAAAATATTTGAAGAGATTATAGTTGAAAACTTCCCTAATATGGGAAAGGAAATAGTTAATCAAGTCCAGGAAGCACAGAGAGTCCCATACAGAATAAATCCAAGGAGAAACATGCCAAGACACATATTAATCAAAGTTTCAAACATTAAATACAAAGAAAACATATTAAAAGCAGCAAGGGAAAAACAACAAGTAACACACAAAGGAAACCCCATAAGGTTAACAGCTGATCTTTCAGCAGAAACTCTGCAAGCCAGAAGGGACTGGCAGGATATATTTAAAGTGATGAAGGACAAAAACCTACAACCAAGATTACCCAGCAAGGATCTCATTCAGATTTGATGGAGAAATTAAAACCTTTAGAGAAAAGCAAAAGCTGAGAGAGTTCAGCACCACCAAACCAGCTTTACAACACATGCTAAAGGATCTTCTCTAGGCAAGAAACTAATAACAAACCCAAAACAATTAAGAAAATGGGAATAGGAACATACATATCGATAATTACCTTAAATGTAAATGGATTAAATGCTCCCACCAAAAGACACAGACTGGCTGAATGGATACAAAAACAAGACCCATATATATGCTGTCTACAAGAGACCCACTTCAGACCTAGAGACACATAC